GTGTGTGTGTGAGTGTGTACCGTCAAATCAGATCTGACTGGTACAGGAGGAGATTGTCCCTCCTTTCCCGGCAGAGCATCTGGTGGATTTGAACTGTGCGTCTCTGGGATTGCAGTGCAACTTCTTGCCACTAGGCCACCAGAGCTCCCCTCGGAACTCTTGATAAACTTATATTGGACCTGAAAAGCCAGACTCCATTTTATGTAGCTAAACCTGTGTGTGGAAAATCCTTTGCCCCAAGCCTCAGAATTGTGCTTTGAACGGCTTCCCAGAACGTTCTCTTCTCTTGACTATTAGGTTTTGTACTCGTCAAATGTTTCAGCTGCAGGCTGCTGTTCATGTTATCTCTGTGTCCTTGAATTGTTTCAGCAGCAAAATGGTATTCCTTTATCTCTTTGCCCTTGAAGTGTTTACAACAGTAGACTGTTGTAGCTAGCCTGCCCCTGGAGTAAAAAAGAGCATAAAATGCTTCTTAGTAAGAACCAAAGGGGGAGTCCTGTCTCATTGCTGGGACTCTTCAACTGCGCAGCCGGTAAAGGACTTGAACCTGTAATGCTGCAGTGTACGTCTCTTAGTCCGTTAGGCACAACAGACCAACAATCAATTGTCAATCCGAACAAGGAAACACTTCGTGGTTCAAAATCAGGAAAGGGGTGTGTCAGGGATGCATCCTGTCTCCATACCTTGTCAATCTATATGTGGAACAGATCATTCTGGAGGCTTTACTTTATGAGGAGAAATGTAGTATCAGGATTGGAGGAAGACTCACCAACAACCTGCATTATGCAGCTGACACAACCTTGCTTGCTTAAACTGAAAAGGATCTGAGGCATTTGCTGCAGAAGGTCAAAGACTGTGGTCTGCAATATGGATTGAAGCTCAGCATCAAGAAGACAAAGATTCTCACCACGGGGCCAACTGGCAGCACCATGATAGATGGAGAAGAGATTGAGATTATTAGTAATTTCAACTTGTTTGGCTTAAAAAATCTACACTCTTGGCACGAGCAGTCAGATAATCAAAAGATGAATTGCATAAAGGAAATCTGTTGTCAGGGACCTCTCCAAAGTCCTAGAAAGCAATGATGTCAGTCTGGAGACTAAGATGTGCCTGATTCAAGCCGTGGTCTTGGCAATTATGTGCTATACATCAGAGAGCTAGACAATGATTAGAGATGATTAAGAAGAATCAATTGCTTTGAATTGTGGTGCTAGAGAAGGGTATTGAACATACCATGAACTACCAAGAGAAGAAACAGGTCTGTCCTGGAGAGGGTGAAACCAAGATGCTCCTTGGAGGCAGAGTTTGAAGTGCCATCTGACATACTTTGAGCACATAGCCAAGAGGAGCCAGTCCTTAGGGGAGGACATCACGCTTGGAAGGGTGAGGGGACAGCAAAGGGGTGGAAGACCCCAATGAGATGGATGGACACAGTAACCAGGGTAATATGGATAGGCATATTGGAGACAGTAAGACTGGCTCAGGCTAGGGAAGAGTTCAGAGCTGTTGTATATAGAGCCGCTTATGAGTTGCAGGCAACTTGATGGCATATAACAACAATGGCTCTTTGAAATCCATACTAGTTGCAGTAGAGTATTCAGAGAACATGAGTTCTTTTCTTTCACTGTGGTTTATCCCCAAGTTATGTTTCCTGGTGGCACAAATGGTTTGCACCCAACTGCTAACCTATTAATTGAAGGGAGTGAGTGAACTTAAGATCCTGCATAAGAGAGCCTTGGAGTTCTGCTGCCATTTAGGTCCCAGCTAGGAAAATGCAATGAAGTTCTCTTCTGTAATGCTTGGGCTTGGCGTGAGCTGGAATTAGCTCAGCCTCAATTAACAATTAACTTAACTTGCTGTTTGTGGTTAAGTGCCTCTGAGTCCTCCCCAACTCACGGCAGACTTCTATCCAACAGCAGGAAATGTAGGGGGTCCTCCTGGAAATTCACATTGGTCGTATTTACAGATTCACAAACAGAACTTCAACTACTGATGGAGAGAAGAAAGAGCAAGATAAAGAAGTCAGGGAAAGCTTCTGTGTGAAGGAAGAGATAGTTGTCATGGAGACAGTGATGTTTCTGAACCGAGCACGGGGCTCTCTGGGTCATGCCTAGAGGAGATAAGGATTTCAAGAAGCAGGTCAGACCAGTGAGTGTGTAATGCAGGACCAGGTCCACGGAAGAGCAATCTGAGACCGAGACAGAAGCCAGATCAGTCTCATGGCTGAGGTGTCAGCATGCCCTGGGAAGGAGGGAGGCACAGCTTTCCACTTGTTCATTCATCCATCATCCATCCGTCCGTCCATCCATCCATCCATCCATCCACTGATCTAATAAATGCTTAGTGTTTTCGTTATCCTGTAGTGCTTTGACAGAAATAACTTTAATGAACAGAAGTTTCTCACATTTAAGGAATCCAGAAGCCCAAAATCAGCTGCTGGCTCCAGAAGGAGGCTTTTCCTAAAATCCCTAAAAGAAGGTCAGGGCAGAAGAGGAAGACCCTGGATGAGATGGACAGACACAGTGGCTTTGGCAGTGGGGTCAAGTGTATCTGGGTCACTGAGGTTGGCTCAGGACAGGACATGGTTCAGAACCACTGTTTATAAGGGTTGCTATGAGTTCAGGGTCAACTTGATGTCACATAACAACAGTGTCTTCAGCTTCTGTCTCTTGGCTCCTTCGTGTGTCTTGAACTATACTGTACCTCACTCCTACTTTGCTGGCTGGTTGACTCTCTCTTTATATAGCCAGAGAATAACTCAAAATGCATCCTGCGCTAACTCTGTTTCATTAACCCAACAACGACAATGCATTCTTGCACTGGGTTGTAACCACAGATGAAGAGGAACAACATATTTTGGAAAGACACATAACCTTTAGTAAACATCTGTCAAGTGAGGCACATACCTCGATGTATCATATTGAATGTGATTGCCAAGGCCCCTGAATGAAGCTTGCTCTCAGGTGGGGGAGACTAACAACAACAACAAAAAGCAGAGAAACTATAAGTAGTGAAAAGTGATAAAAAGGAAGGGGAGGGAAGTTCTTCTAACACTGTCCTCAGCATAGATTTCTCAGGGAAGAACCAGGGAGAGAGAAGCATATGGAGAACCATGGAAAGAGCATTCTGGAATGGTGCAACCACTTGTGGAAGGTGGTATGGTGCTTTCTCAAAAAGTTGCAAATAGAGATACCATTTGACCCAGCGATTCCATTACTGGGAATATACCCCAAAGAGACCAAACTGCCACTCAAGCAGATATATGCACACTCATGTTGATTGCGAGTTCACTCATGTGAATTCATGTTCACAGTAGCAAGGAGTTGGAAACAACCTAAGTGCCATCAACAAACGAATGGATAGAGAAGCTGTGGTATAGTCACACAATGGAATACTACGTGGCATTGAAAAACAAGGAACTCATGCAATATTATTCAAAATGGGTGACTCTGGAGGACATGATGCTGAGTGAAGTATCTCAGTCACAAAAGGACAAATACTGCATGGTGCCACTGTTGTAGAACAAGACTGACATCAGGGTTGGGAGGGAGTCTGAGAAAGATGGATTCAATAATGAATACTGCATTGAAACAGATGAGGGAGAAAACTGTTTAAAAGGGATATGTGATTGGGTATTTTTGTCATGATAGGAGTCTAGAGCAAAGGCTACATGGTGGAGTGGACCTGGGGGGAGGGATTGTATAACAATGAAAGAATTTTTCTTTTACTTTTCCAAGAGTGTAGTGTACTAGGGGGGAAGGTTGGGAGGGGGGGAAAGTGCAACAATGAATAAATGGAAATTTAAAAAATCCATCTTTTTTTTTAAAAAAGAACATTCTGGAAAGAAAGAATACACAACAATCCAAGAAAGGAAATAACTGGCCTATTCCAAGTGCAAGAGGGAGGGGATCTGGCTGAAGTGGAGGGAGCAGTGAGAAAAAGATTGAAGCGCTGCTGAGAGCTGGAATCAAGGAGGGCCTTCCGGCCGAGGGAAGGTGTTAGGATATTTCCTGAGTGCAGTGGGAAATCATCTGTGGGGTTGAGCAAGAGATGGCGGGGCAATTCGGGTTTGACAAAGATCCTTCTGGCCAGTGTATGGAGAGCAAGGACGAGAGCATAGATGCCTGTTAGGATTCACGGCAGCGGATGATGGAGGTCAGGTTGGAGCGGTCCTGGCGGAGGGAGAGGGCGGATGAAGATCCCAGATCTGTGTGGAGTTTGGATTGGACCCGGTGACAGGTGTGTGGTGCCTTTGTGCTAGGCTGCATTTCATTCCCCGGAACTCCTTCCTATGTATGTTAATGTAAGAGTGGGTCAATAAAGATTTGGGTTGAAGTGGATAGGACAGAATGGAGTAGGAGTCATTGTTGACCTTTTGCACGTGCCTAAGTGCAGGATAGGGGCTGATGTAGCCCCCACCACACACAGTGGCCTGCCTTCTGCCTTATCTCAC